GACATTTAGATGATTTCATTTTTAAACCATGCTTATGTAAACGTTCACATACAAACTCTAATCTGTCAATTTGTTTTTCTGTGGTCCTAAAAATATAAGAATCTCATCCAAATAAATAAGAAGAATTTCAAAGTTTTTATCATTAAAATAAGCTTTCATCAAACGCCGAAAAGTTGCGGCACTATTTGATAGACCCATAGGCATGCGTAGATATTCATACAACCCTCCTGTACCTACTCTAAACGCCGTTTTCGCTATATCATCAGGTTCCATTGCTACCTGGTATTATCCTTGAGCTAAATCGAGCGTCGTATAATACTTAGTTCCATGTAGTGCATCTAATGCCTCCTCAATTCTCGGGAGGGGGTAGACGTCACGAATTGTTTTCTGGTTAAGTTGACAGAAATCTGTGCACAGTCGAATGCTTGAATCGGGCTTGCGTACAATGACAACAGGGCTGCATAAGGACTATTACTTTTCCTAATAATGTATTGTCTAACCATTTTCTTAATATGTTCACGAACTTCCTCCATCTAATGAGGTGGTATACGCCTATGTGGAACTGAAATTGGTTTGTTATCAACAGTTACGATTTTGTGTTTTATAACGTCTGTGTAACCTATATCAAATTCATCTTGACAGAAAACATCACAATATCTATTAATCATTGATTGTATATTTTCACTTTGTCCATGTGTTAGTGCAACACTTCCTATATCAATATCCTTTAAAGTTATTTTCTTTTCTGATTTATCTGTTTCATGTACTTGAACTTGAGTTTTGTTTACAGAAACTTGAATTTTTATATGCGAATTCGAAAAATTAATTTCTATCGACTCGTCAATTGGACTTTCATGAACTATAGTTGCATTTTGTAAAGTTCCAACACGTGTTTTGGGATTTAACCAAATATCTTCAGAACCTATGTCAACTAATCGAACTGGTACCCTACCGTTCACCACTTCACTGTAGCTGTCTACCAACAACAGGTTTCTATTCAAAGAACCAGTAAATCCTTGTACTGCTTGTTTTGCTGCACAACATTTCTTGTTATCACTGCTCTGTCTTGTAGTACTCGACACAAATCGCATGGAATTAGCTGGAATAAGTACTGGTGATTTTCCTGCTATCTTAACAAAAGATAAAGCTACTTTCTCATTAGAATCAATATTCTCAGTGTCATTTTCAGCACTAATATTATACAATGTTAAAGTACTAAAAAGTTGTTTACCAGTCATTTCAATTTGTTTATTTTCACTATGTAAATCCACAGTGTCCTTCACTTTTATAAAGAAATTACTTCCAAGTAAAGATTGAGTTTTATTTTTTCTACTAGGTACTTCAGTGTCTTTTACAACTTTTGGTATACATGTATTTATAATGTTAATATCAACCTCTATATATCCAAGATAAGGAATAGGTAAATCATTAGCACCTGTCACTTTCATCCATTTTGCAATATCATACAAAACTGGTTTCTTTTCTAATAAACTATTAAAAAAATTTTCAGAAATTGTAGAAACTTCTGATCCAGTATCAATAAGTGATCTCACTGGCTGTTTTTTAATTAAAATATCTATCTCTGGGCATTTCCCAGTGACATTATTAAAAATCTCGGTACTAAAAGTTACAGAGTCTACTGACTTTACTCCCATCGGTCGACTCTCTACCCTTCGAGGTTGTCTTTTGGCAGTGATTCAATTTCTTCACTATTTTGTACATTACACGAACTTGCACCTCTTTGACTTGAATAACCTCGGCCTTGACCTCTATATGTTTGTTTACCTCTTGAAGAATTGCCATTGTTTGCATTTGTAAATTTTGGTGACGGACAATTTACTTTTATATGACCTTTACCTCCACAGTTAAAACACTTTCTTTCACTTATATCTGAAAAACTTGATTTTGACTGTTTATCTGAAAATCTATTATATGTATTAGTATTGGACTGTCCTTGACTAGATCGGTTGTTTGACAGATAATCAATTTGTTGTTGTTGTTTAATAATTAAAGTTTGTTGATTCATCAGTATCTTTTTAATTTCCGAAAATTCACTACTATAGTCACTACTTATAGCATTTTCTGATACTTCTTGAGATGATAATTTAACTTTTAAATTTATATCTCCCATTTCGTCTACCCATTTTAATGCTTCTTGTCTGAATTCTATAAAAGTCAATGTCTTGTGTTCCAAACTAAACCTTTTCACTTCCCTTTTCAATTGTTTAACACATATACAATAAGTCTATCCTTCATCGCAACATTTTTATCACCTAATGCTGTGTTATTACGTTTTGTTATTTAGTCCGCAATTTTCATAAGTATTAAAGAATATTCTTGCAATGATTCATATTCTTTCTGATTACGTTGAAAGAAAAGTTGCTGTAACTGACTTACAGGTCTTTAGCCGGGCCAGTAACATGGTCCATTAAACATTCAACCCTAGCTTTTTCATCACTAAATTTACTCAAATGTTCTGTAGCATCCTCAATTCAATCAGAAATTAAAGGATCAGTATCTTTGGTTGGTCTACCGCTAATTGTAGCTAATTTCTTCTCTCTCGTAATATATACAGGTTTAGATGTTTTATGCAATGCATCTATCAGTTTAGTGTTCAAAGATAGTTCATATTTTAGTTTTTCATTTACCTCTTTTTCTTTATGTAAAATATCTAACTGCTTCTTCAGTTAACTTTTTTACTTTTTTTCTTTAGACATTGTAGACTTCTTGACTTCTTACGGTAAATACCTTAGAAAAAATTTGTCTACTACACGTTGCCAATTTCAAATTTAATATTAGATTAAATAAATCCTGTCGACGACGCCATTTGTAACGACACAGGCGTTATGGAATAAGATGTATAAATATTCATCATAGTTTATTAAATCCTCCATATATTTATCATCATAATATCACAACTTTTTCTTCTTTTATAAAAATTTCACATTAAAAATCTTCTAGTTTCAATTTATATAAATTATAGGCAACGTCTAATATACAATATGACAGAAACAACATAAAGAACATAAGTATGTTTCATCTCTGTATATATAATTTTATACAATATAATCAAGTGCATAAATTTTCTATTTCCTCACTAAAATTTCCTTTCTTATATTTATCATTAAGTTTAATAATTAATCAAATCTATAAACTTTAAATAATTACTTAAATGTAATTTTCATAATGAATTTCCATATAAAATAACCAAATAAACTGTTTCTAAGTATTTCAAATTCTGAAATATATTATCTCCCTTATCAAATTATCTCACCTTATGAATACTGATTTTATAACATGTACTTCAAAAATATGACTAAAAACATGTTATCATATGTGTAAAGAAGTGAAATTTTCACTTCTGGGTTCTTTTAGTAAGGGGGACAATCAAATAGATCTGTCAATTGGGCGTCAAACAAAACTAAATAAAAATTTGCATTTAATAATACCACAACCACAAGACAAACACAAAACATAAATATACACATATGAAACAACCTCTCTACGACCTCTCTTCTATCTCACATAGACAATGACAAATACACGGAACTAAATACACTTAACTAAAAGTTAAAATTAAAAGTAAATAAATAAATTAGTCCATCACAGTCCATAAATCACAAGTCTATATCAATCCAGAAATCTCAAAGGTTGTTCTCGTTTGATCCGAATTACTATACTTTTGAAAATTTACTGTCTGTCAACTTGACAAATATTGAAAAACCAATACCTTGACAACATAACGTTAAATACTTCAGTCTCTGAGACAAACTGTCAAACAAGTTTCTGCTATGTTTTAAATTGTAATTGTCCCGAAACAAATTCACTGACGGACTATTTAACCACACAGATATTCAGGTTGTTGTAATACTTAATACTTGAAAACTATCTGTTCCATTTAAACTATCAAATGTTAACCATACACACAGTGTATATTTATCCTCATCTGAGATTCAACTTTATATATAGGAAATTGTCCCATTTTACTTATCACTCCTTTCTTTTAATGGTCTAAAATACTTCCATAACTCAACAAGTCCCCTGGGAAAGAAACAAAACACAATTTTAAATAACGGACCGATTTAATCCCGAATAAACATAATTATTTGACAACCGTGCGCGCCATAATTACAATATGACAAACAAAATTTGATATCTCGTGCGAATATTTGAAACAGAAGACATAAGGGCGGGGCATGGTGTGTTTGTGTGACAAAACCTACCTGGGAGTTCTTTATTGTCCTGATGGACAAAATATTAATGAATTCTCCTGAACTGATCATTCCTGATATAATATTTGCCCTGACAATAGTCAAACTCCAACTCCAAGTTCCAGTCAGTTTTCAACATCTGACTTCAACACTGTCCAGGTGTTATACTGACAACACCTTATGTCAAGACTAGTGTTTCTAAATTAACCTGCCTAACCAGTTTCTCACCTTCACATTACCTGTTTGTCAAACTTGATTACTTTTGTTCTATTTATAAATCACTAAGATTTAAATCCAGGTAACACTCAAAGAAGGATAACTCAAAAACTTTACAATCCTCCCCACTAAGGAGACAAAATAACATTTTTGTCCAACCCAAACACTCTCTCATACCCGATACAAAATAACCTACCTGTCTACATCATTTAGACAGAATCTTATAACTGCCAAGAACAACATGCATAAACATATATACAACTATACACACCACCTGGAGTATTTCAGGGGACTTCTATTCCTCCAACCTGGACAACGCATCTGCCACAATGTTCAACTTACCAGACACATACGAAATTCTAAATTTTAATTCCTGTAGGGTCAGACTCCAACGTAATAATCGCTGATTACTCATCTTCATTCTCTGAAGCCATTGTAATGGTGCATGATCTGTTTCAATAACAAATTCCTTACCTTCTAGATAAACCCATAAAGACTCCACAGCCCATACTATAGCATAGCATTCCTTCTCTATAACCGAATACCTACGCTCAGCATCTGAAAATTTCTTACTCATATAAAGAATCGGATGTCTGCCATCTTTAAACTCTTGTTCAAGTACACATCCAACGCCTGTGTTACAAGCATCAGTACATAAAATAAATGTAAGAGAAAAATCAGGCGCTCTCAACACTGGTTCTGATGCAATCATAGATTTCAACTTGTCAAAGCACTGCTGATGTTCACTAGTCCAATTTACCTTGTTTGGCAAGCCCTTCTTAGTGAGGTCTGTGATTGATGCAGAATACGTGGAAAAGTTTGATATAAATTTCCTGTAGAAACCAATAAATCCAATAAAAGATCTTACCTGTTTCTTTGTCATTGGTGGTTTAAAATCCACAATAGCCTGAATCTTATCCTGTGTAGGCTGGATTTCACCCCCACCTACTATATGTCCAAGAAATTCTAACTTACTGAATCCAAAACAGCATTTTTTTGGTCTAGCTGCTACATTTGCTTTTCTAAGAGCAAGTAATACTAACCTTATATGTTTCAGATGATCTTCAAATGTATCACTATAAATTCCAATATCATCTATAAATGAATCAGCAAAGCCATCACAGTCTTTCAGGACCTTTCTCATCAGACTTACAAAAGACGCACTAGAATTTACCATACCAAAAGGCATTACTGTAAATTGATAGTGACCCATCGGTGTCACAAAAGCACTTTTCCTCTTGGCATCTTCATCTGGACTAAGTTGCCAATATCCCTTGGTTAGGTCTATCTTATTTAGAAATTTTGCCTTACCTATCTTATTTAGCACAGAATCTATCTGCGGCATCGGTGCTGGATCAAATTCCGTAATTTTATTAATTTCCCGGTAATCGCAACAAAACCGTATTGATGAATCTTTCTTTTTCACCAATACCACTGGAGCTGCATACGGGCTATCCGAAATTTCAATAATGCCAAGTTTCAACATGTCATCAATTTCTTGTTGAACCTTCTCTCTAAGTGCATACGGAACAGGATATGGCTTCCTATACACAGGCTTATCTGTAATTAATTTTACCTTATGATGCACAAGATCTGTCCTCTTTGGTACATCAGTAAATATGTCTGAGAATTCCCAGATCAGTTTTGAGATTAACCTATGTTGCTCATCTGTTAAATCCTCTGAAATTCTGACGTCATTTACTGTTTCTTTCCCTACCAGCCGATGAGTTACTTTATAGTCTACATCTATGTATTCATCTTCAAACTTATCTTCCGCTACATCTATACATGCTAAAAATTCTACCTCATTTTTCAGTGCTTCAGGACGCTCATACCATGTTTTCAACATATTCACATGATAAACTTTCTCTTTACCTCTTACCTTGACTTTATAATCTACTGGTCCTACCTTATCTGTAACAACGTAAGGCCCTTTCCACTGAGCCAAAAGTTTACTTTCACTAGTGGGAAGTAGAACTAATACCGTAGTACCAACCTCAATCTCTCTCGATCTTGCCTTCTTATCGTAATACCTCTTCTGTACCTGTTTTGCATTCATTTCATTCTGGTGTGCTAACTCAGATAACATTTTCAGTCTCTCTCGAGTTTCAATCAAATAGCTAAGTACAGACGATTGGCAATCCTCTGGTTCTTCCCATTGTTCTTTCAAGACAGACAGTGGTCCTCTTACATTTCGACCATACAATAACTCAAATGGCGAAAAACCTGTAGTATCATTTGGTACCTCCCTATAAGCAAATAATACATATACCAGGTACTTATCCCATGTCTTTGGTTCTAGTGAAGCATAGGCTTTCAACATACGTTTCAAAACACCATTGAATTTCTCACACATTCCATTCGTCTGAGGATGGTAAACACTGGATACCTTCTTTTCAACCGTTAAAAGTCTGCATACTTCCAACATAAGTGACGACTTAAAATTTGATCCTTGGTCCGAAAGTAACTCTTCAGGGAAACCTACTCTAGAAAATACTTCCATCAATGAGTCAACAACTGTCTCTGCATCTTGGCTTCTCAAGGCAACAGCTTCTGGATATCGAGTGGAACAGTCCACAATTACCAAAATATACCTATTTTTTCGTTCTGTAACCGGTAATGGTCCAACAAAGTCAATAGCAATTCGACGAAAAGGTACATCTATTGAAGGAATACTCACTAGCGGTACCTTTGCTGACTTACCTTTTGTACTTCTCAACTGGCAAACATGACATGATTTACAATACATAGCCACATCCTCAAACATACCCGGCCAAAAGTAATGATGTAATATTCTATCCCTAGTTTTCTTTATACCAAGATGGCCTGAAAGAGGAATATCGTGAGCAAGTTCCAGTACTATGGCCCTATACTTCTGTGGTAAAACAACCTGATATATCTCTTCCTCACTGGGAGTCACATATACTCTGTATAGTATTCCTGACTTCATTATGAAATAGGATGACTGTTGTCCTGGATTTTCCTGAACTAAGCTCCTTACCTTATTCAAAGATTTGTCGTCAGCTTGAGCTAATTTTAACTCATCTCTGCTATACATCTTACCTACCTGTGGTAATATATTATCTGTTACATGTTCATTTAACTTGTCTATACTTACTTGTATCTTTTCTTCTTTTTCGTCTTCTTGTTTCTTCTTGGCCCTTGTTTGTACAGCCTGGCATGTGTCTTGATCAATATTCTTACCATCGTTTTCTACTTTTTCAGTGCATACATCTTTAGGAACAGAGGTATTTACATAATTACCTATAACTAAGTCCGCAAATGGTATGTCTAAAATCAGTGCCAACACTGAACCAGATATGTATGGTGTAGTAACATTGATCCATACCTCTTCACAGTTTCTGACAGATCCATCTGCTAACCAGATATCTTTCATTTTACCTGTTCTCTCCATCCCTTCTACAAGACTACCATGTACAAAAACTGTGGAACTGCCGGTGTCACGTAAAACTGACACTGGCTTACCTTCAACTGTACCTTTTACAATTTCTATACCAGGACCCTTACCTTCATCAAATTTTGCATTTACAGCTACTCCTGATAGTTTCACAACTTTACCTTCATCAACATCCTTCCTTTGTACACACTCTAAAACTTTATCTTTGTCTACACAAAGTCCAAAGCTACCTTTCTTACCTTTTTCCGTACCTTTCTTTTCAGTGCAATCATAACTCAAATGTCCTTGTTTATGACAAATGTAACAAGTTTTAGGTTTACTGTTATTCTGAGACATGAATGGTTTTCTGAAATCCTTACTCTTTCCTAGATCCTTCTATAAGCCTCTGGTTTGACCACTATTATTACCTGATTGAGGTTTCATCTTGAAAGCATCATCTGATACAAGACTCTCAATCTTGTGAGCCACTTGATAGGATTCAGCTAAATCAACAACTTCATGAGCAGATTTAGGCTTGTGTTCATTAGCCCAAAGCCTTAAATCCTTACTACAAGTTTGGAGTAATTGCTCACGCAACATCAAATCCAACAGTTTTTCATAACTGTTACCAACACTCTCACGTTCAAACCAATGTGCTAAATATCTTTCTAGCTTAACCCTGAATTCTCTAAATGACTCGTCTTTTTCCTGAATAGCAGACCTAAATTTTTCCCTGTAGGCTTCTGCAGTTAACTCATACCTTTTTAGAATTGCATCTTTAATCTTGTCATAATTACCACCATCAGCATCACTTAAACGAGAGTATGCCTCTAATGCCTTACCACTCAATAATGGCACAATACGAACTGGCCATTCAGACTTTGCACCTTTATGCAAGGCTGCTAGTTTCTCAAAAGACTTCAAAAATCATCTGGGTCTTGACCTTCAATAAATTTTGGTAACTTACTATATTTCTGATCTCCTTTGCTAGTAACAGGTGCTGCAACACCTAGAGCTTGTTGCACCGCTATCTCTTTTTCCTTAATCTCAAGTTCACGCATGCGTATTTCTCTTTCCATCTCTGCACGTTTCAAATCACGATCTGCTGCACGTTCTTCTCGCTCCGTTGCTTGTATTTCCTTCCACAGGGTCAGACAATCTGTAACAGACCCCCCTTTTTCTACTAACTCGGACATCCATTTAGGCATGTCCATGACAAAGTTGAATTTCAGTCAACTAGTATAAACCCTACTGACAGATCCCACCGTGGATGACAAATGTAAAGAAGTGAAATTTTCACTTCTGGGTTCTTTTAGTAAGGGGGACAATCAAATAGATCTGTCAATTGGGCGTCAAACAAAACTAAATAAAAATTTGCATTTAATAATACCACAACCACAAGACAAACACAAAACATAAATATACACATATGAAACAACCTCTCCACGACCTCTCTTCTATCTCACATAGACAATGACAAATACACGGAACTAAATACACTTAACTAAAAGTTAAAATTAAAAGTAAATAAATAAATTAGTCCATCACAGTCCATAAATCACAAGTCTATATCAATCCAGAAATCTCAAAGGTTGTTCTCGTTTGATCCGAATTACTATACTGTTCAAATTTACTGTCTGTCAACTTGACAAATATTGAAAAACCAATACCTTGACAACATAACGTTAAATACTTCAGTCTCTGAGACAAACTGTCAAACAAGTTTCTGCTATGTTTTAAATTGTAATTGTCCCGAAACAAATTCACTGACGGACTATTTAACCACACAGATATTCAGGTTGTTGTAATACTTAATACTTGAAAACTATCTGTTACATTTAAACTATCAAATGTTAACCATACACACAGTATATATTTATCCTCATCTGAGATTCAACTTTATATATAGGAAATTGTCCCATTTTACTTATCACTCCTTTCTTTTAATGGTCTAAAATACTTCCATAACTCAACAAGTCCCCTGGGAAAGAAACAAAACACAATTTTAAATAACGGACCGATTTCATCCCGAATAAACATAATTATTTGACAACCGTGCGCGCCATAATAACAATATGACAAACAAAATTTGATATCTCGTGCGAATATTTGAAACAGAAGACATAAGGGCGGGGCATGGTGTGTTTGTGTGACAAAACCTACCTGGGAGTTCTTTATTGTCCTGATGGACAAAATATTAATGAATTCTCCTGAACTGATCATTCCTGATATAATATTTGCCCTGACAATAGTCAAACTCCTTCTCCAAGTTCCAGTCAGTTTTCAACATCTGACTTCAACACTGTCCAGGTGTTATACTGACAACACCTTATGTCAAGACTAGTGTTTCTAAATTAACCTGCCTAACCAGTTTCTCACCTTCACATTACCTGTTTGTCAAACTTGATTACTTTTGTTCTATTTATAAATCACTAAGATTTAAATCCAGGTAACACTCAAAGAAGGATAACTCAAAAACTTTACAATTTGTAAATAACAAACAATTTACAAACAACTGCTAAGCTAACAAAGCATACACAATTAATAGCAGTAAATTTAATCTGTATTAACAATTCTAGGAAATCATGGTTGATAAATATAATTACTACACATACCCTAAGTAAGGTGAGAGTAGACATCTCATTGCGAATAATCACAATCCTTATCAATCTTTCTGACAATCATAGCTGATCACAATAATCTTATAACACCTGCAATTAACATTTATAATTCTAAATAGTTACTTCTCTCAGAGTAATAAAGATATTATTTCTGATTTTTAACGATTCTCTTTTGCTTCTTCGCTCTCATTTTCTTACATCGTTTCACCAAAATAACTTTGATTGATCAAAACACACAACTGATCAAGACTCTTAAATATTAAAATATGATATAAATAAGTAAAATAACGCTTTCCAAAACGCAATGAACCTTATTCCTGACTTATCATAAAAATCTAAATAGCTTCTCCATAACTAAACTTATAACTTGCGAAGGAATTATGACATTAATAACTTTTATATCTTTACTCTTAAACTGTCTTAACTGTGTAATAACTTTAATTATTACATTGGTGGCATTAAATTACATTGATTTCCCAGTCAAATAAAAACCGATAATTTCACATGGGAAATAAACGTGGTTATTTCACTCTCTGACGTCATACAACAATAGGCGTTGTCAAGACGTCGATAACGTCTGATCAAAACAAATTGTGAATGCGTAGAAAAAAAGATATAGTTGCTTACATTTTCTACATTAATTTCATTAAAAAAAGCCATTTGCCAATGTAATAAAAAGAATAACTAATCAAAGAATTCAAATATCGAAAAATATTCAACTCGTGACCGAACAACACTGATAATTAACTCATGCGCTACGCGCATTCGTGAATTAATGTGTTGTTCGGTCACTCGTTGAATATTTTTCTCTATTTGAATTCTTCGATTAGTTATTCTATAATTACCGTGATTCATCTTAACCACATGCTACACATGGCGTGTTTCTCACTCGAAAGTTTACTATGATAAAAACTTGTTTTAAAACAATAAAATTACTTCATAATAGTCATAATTCAACTTACAATATTTGAATGTTCACAATTCTGTTCCCAAATACACACGTCACATTGTGTTCCCAAACACTTGTCAGTGAGTGGACAAAAATAAATGTCAACCTCTTTAAATTACCCACGCTATTTTCTGCGCAATCGCAGTCAACTTTAACCTACGAGAGTATAAAAAATTTCTTTTTACAATTAAAGTAAAATCTATTTATTTTTATCTTTATCTTCTTTTTTATATATTCTTTGAATATTTTACTGACTGAAAAGTAATTTTTTAGAGTAAAAATAATTTCTAAACTAAATTTCAATAACTATACAAAGGGAAACAATTCAATCTAAAAAATTATCAAAATCTCAATCTCTCATGCTACAGTCGTATGATAGCGCTCATTTCACTGATTCGAAAAATATATGGTTTCGAAATACTTTTTGCTTGAAATTAAAGCAAAATTGGCTACTTCCCGTGTAGAAAAATGCCACTTCCTGTGTCTTATGGTAGTTTTAATAACACTGAATAAAAACATATATGGTTTCTATATACATTTACGTTTGATTGCAATAAGGAAGATCATTTGTTACTTTCGTTTTACAAAAAAATTCACTCCCAGTTCAAACGAAATGTTGATTCACACTGGTTATGCAAATAAATGGTGTCTATGTACTTTTTCTTGAAATTAGTGCAAATAATGATACGTCTGGTTATAACAATGACATTTTGCAAGTTCATATGTCGTCCGATATAACGCAAAATTCCTTAAGGCTTTATCATGTACAAGTTAAACGTTATGATGAAGGCCAAAATCTAGAACGTCAGATATAACTTAGATCTTTTCATCTATTTCATTGTCAAAGGTCATGGGTCTCATATCAAAAGACCCGAGGTCCATATTACGTATGGTTAAAATGATATCCTACCAAACAGTTTATTTTTGTATATTAAACATGTTAAAGACGAGAAAACTCCTGTTTAACGTCACCAGAGCACTTTGACCCATATGAATTGGCGTAGCATCATGTTTCAACTTACAATTTGCCGAAAACCTTATTACGGTTTCTGAGGATTTTAAGATTGCAAAGATTACATTCACCTTTGGCATTGACCTTAATTTCCTGCCTATTGAATAGGGACCTGATATCAATAGCTCTATGTCTCTATAACTCATAGTTTAGGAGGTACCCCAACATACCATTCATGTCAATCACAAAAAGGGAAATACACCTGATTACATGTAACCGGATCACATCGGTTCAAGTATAACAGATCATCACTATGAAGTAACGAACAATTTGGAGAAAAAATTTAAACGATTACTTGTACGCTTTCTGAGGAATAGCGATAACAAGAATAATCGCATATGGGGAGATAACTCCAATATAGAAAAGTGATCGGCTAAAAAGGGTGGGTTTCAAAATGAAAAAGAACAAAATTGAAAGGTCTTTACACAGACAGGTT